AAAGAGATTGCATGACTTGACCAGGATCATGAGATTACTAAATGGCAATGCCCAAGGAAAATCCAGTTTTCTTCTTTCTTAAATTATTCCCAGTCCAAGGAGACTTCAGTGATCTCCGTACTAGGAAAGTAAGCATGGTGTGAAGGTTTTTAGACTATCATTTTGCGTTACTCACACCAGCTGCCCTTTCTACTTCACTCATATCTTAGCGAGCTGAGTCAATTGCATTCGAAAGAAACATTTTCTGTGTCTCTCACGGGCACATCATTGACGGCTGCCTGAACAGATTTAACTCACTATACATTCAAGCATGCGAAAGGACATAACTTGTACATATCCATCTGGCTCCACAGAGTAATTAATCAAATAAGTGTCATTGCCTCAAACTATCTGCTTGCTTTTCTGATTCAGCCCTAAGTTTATATATCCATGGGTGGGATCAAAATGATTTTCCAATTCTAAATTTCTGAAAATCACTATGAGATGTGTAAGTGAAAACATGCTTCAGCAGCATACAATATTACAAGTTATTCAAGCTACAGCTCAGAAGCAAAACATATATATATTGTTTTGTGACGGAGTCTCCCCAGTCTGAAGTGCAGTGGCACGATCTTGGCTCACTGCAATCTCTGCCTCCCAGGTTCAAGCGATTCTTCTGCCTCAGCCTCCCGAGTAGCTGGGACTACAGGAACACACCACTACGCCCGGCTAATTTTTTGTATTTTTAGTAGAGACAGGGTTTCATCATATTGGCCAGGCTGGTCTCGAACTCCTGACCTCGTGATCTGCCAACCTTGGCCTCCCAAAGTGCTGGGATTACAGGCATGAGTCACCGTGCCTGGCTGCAAAATATATTCTAAGGAATAAAAATGGTTGTAGTTAGTTTTCCATAGTCCAAAGCAAGCTAATGATATTTCAAGAGCTAAAAGTGTAATATAATCATCGGTCAGGTTTCTACAATGAAAGACAGTTGAAAGGAGTCAAATATCAGCATAACGCAGATGATGTACTCACTGGCATTGTGAGCCTTTTTTTTTTTTTTTTTTTTTTTTAAAGATGGAGTTTCACCATGATGGCCAGGTTGGTCTTGAACTCCTGACCTCAGGTGATCCACCCACCTCGGCCTCCCAAAGTGCTAGGATTACAGGCGTGAGCCACCGGGCCCTGCCGTGAGCCTTTGTTATTTGGATAACCATTTTCACCTTGTGTAAACTTTTCCAGAATTATATGCTTTTATGTCTAATCAGCTAATTAGGCAGTTGAAAAGTATGTATAAAGCACCTAATATGTGCCCCGATTAGGCCAGGCACTGTGGGTATATAAAAGGGGTTTATAGGCCGGGTATGGTGTCTCACGCCTGTAATCCCAGCACTTTGGGAGGCTGAGGTGGGCAGATCACGAGGTCGGGAGTTCAAGACCAGCCTGGCCAACATAATGAAACCCCATTTCTACTAAAAATACAAAAATTAGCCAGGCATGGTGGTGCCTGCCTATAGTCCCAGCTACGAGGGAGACTGAGGCAGGAGAATCACTTGAACCCAGAGTCAGAGCTTGTGGTGAGCCAAGATCACACCACTGCACTTGTCTGGGCAACAGAGTGAGACTCCATTTAAAAAAAAAAAACAAAAAACGGGGGTGTTATAAAGGTGTAAGCTCCTATCTTCAAACCTTAGTGGGGTGGAGGGATGGGGGAGTTAATTAACATACATTAAATGTTTTTTACTCACCCACACTTAGAGAAACAGTATTGTTTTAAATGTGTTGTAGGAGTTCAGAGAAATAAAGATTAATGTGGTTTGGAATAAATTAAATAATAAAAAGCTTTGCTGAATACCGTTAGTTTAAAAAATATAAAAATATAAGGGGGTTTGCAGAGAAATCTGTTCAACTCTTAAAATAATGGTTTTTAATTTATACATGTTTATATAAGAATTCCATTTTATTATGATAGAAATATATTTGCTGGGAAGAAAAAAACAAAAAGGATTCCATTTTATTAACATGAACTACCTGTACTTTTTTTGAGATGGCATTTCACTCTTGTTGCCCAGACTGGAGTGCAATGGTGCAGTCTCGGCTCTCCGCAACCTCCGCCTACTGGGTTCAAGCGATTCTCCTGTCTCAGCCTCCTGAGTAGCTGGGATTATAGGCATCTGCCACCATGCCTGACTAATTTTGTATTTTTTTTTTACTACAGACAGGGTTTCTCCATATTGGTCAGGCTGGGCTTGAACTCCCGACCTCAGGCAATCCACCGCCTTGGCCTCCCAAAGTGCTGGGATTACAGGCGTGAGCCACTGCGCCTGGAACCAGTACTTTTTTTTTTTTTTCATTTTCTCCACTTGACATCCAACTTTTTTTTTTTGAGATGGAGTCTTGCTCTGTTGTCGGGACTGGCGTGCAGTGGTGGATCTCGGCTCCCTGCAACCTCTGCCTCCCGGGTTCAAGCAATTCCTCTGCCTCAGTCTTCTGAGTAGCTGGGATTACGGGTGTGAGACACCACACTTGGCTACATTTTTGTATTTTTAGTTGAGATGGGGTTTTACCATGTTGGCCAAGCTGGTCCTGAATTCCTGACCTCAGATCATCCACCCGCTTCAGCCTCTCAAAGTGCTGAGATTATGCGTGAGCCACCTCGCCTGGCCCAGTACTTTTACTGATGCAAAAATATAACGTAGAAGGAAAATCTGTCTTACACACAGTAAGTGCTAAATCTAGGTCTTTAAAACAAAAGTCACTGAGAAGCCTAACTCCTATCTTAATTTTTAAGACATGTATTATTGCAAGCAGAAAAACTGTACTAGACACTGGGGACACATGAATGAGTGAAGCTGTTTCTGTCCTCAAGAGGTTACCATTTGGTAGGTGGAAACAAGTGAACGAACAAAGTCATTGCAAATAAATGTGGGAGGCTCTATGAGTGAGGCCACAGAGGAAGAGGTTGAGAGGGAAAGAAAGCTTCAAGGAGTAGGTGACTTCAAGAAGGTCATCCTGGCCAGGCACGGTGGCTCACACCTAATCCTAGAACTTTGGGAGGCACAGGCAGGCAGCAGATCGCTTGAGCTTAGGAGTTTGAGACCAGCCTGGGCAACAGGGAGAAATCCTATCTACAAAAAATACAAAAACTAGGCTGGGTGTGGTGGCTCACGCCTGTAACCCCAGCACTTTGGGAGGCCAAGGCGGGCAGATCACCTGAGGTTGGGAGTTCGAGACCAGCCTGACCAACATGGTGAAACCCTGTCTCAAACCAAACCAAACCAAACCAAAAACTAGCCAGGCATGGTGGTGAGCACCTCTCCTCCCAGCTACTTGGGAGGCTGAGCTGGGAAGGTCACTTGAGACCAAGAGGCAGAAATTGCAGTGAGCAGAGATCGTACCACTGCACTCCATTCTGGATGACAGAGGGAGACCCTGTCTCGAAAAACAAAAGACAAACAAAAACAAAAGGTCATCCTGCAGGACAACCAGGAGGGGACAATGTGTGTCTGTGGGAGGGTGAATGTTGGCAGGAGAAAGAGCAGGGAAAGGCTTTCCAGAAAAAGGAAACTGTGAACAGCACAGGAAAAAGCATAGTGAATAGTAAGCCTGAGACCAATCTCAGGGTTTCCTACACGTATTTCAAAGCCCTTCATTATCCATATGGAGAGAGGGAGTCTTTAAACACAAATATTTAGATCATATCGACGATGAGATTTAGATAAATGAATGCTAATAATTATTTTTCATTATTTTTGGTGTGTTAAAAATTTATTGTACAAGATTGTATTCGTTTTAAGTATCTTCTAACGTGAGCCATTTTGTAATGATTCAGTTCTTTATATTCAATTTCTAACAGCCATTTTGTAATAATTCAGTTGTTTACATTGTTTCAACTTAATTCAATATTGAATTCATATTCCGTTATTCAATTCAATTTCAATTTGATGCTGATCACAGCATCAAATGGGTATCTTCTACAGAAAAAATACAGTATGTGATTTCAATAAAGAAAAATATAGTCAGTTTTAGGATTTCTTGAGAGATTATAGAACCAGAATAAAAGCATTCAAACTGTTAAGTCATTAAATACGAGTACCTTGTATTTTGAAGGCCTCTTTAAATGTACAGTTAATAGTTTATAAATGCTTTTACGTAACATATGCACTGAAATACCATTTAAGATTAGTTTTGAAAACAGGTATTCATTTGAACCACATCATTCGGTATTTTATTCAAAGCTCTTTATAAAAGGAAAACATTCCAGTATAGTAAACATCCTGAAAATAGGACAAAAATTTAACCTCATGCTATAGATGCAAAGTTTCCGGAAAGCAGGATTTGAAACTTCCATTGTAAGTTTAACAAGCGGTCCTGTCCAATTTCAACTGAGACCATTTTACCGCATGTAATGCTGAGCATAACATGGGCACGTTTTTGTTGCTATGAGAACCTTCTATTTTGGATCAGAAATCGCAGCCCTGACGACGCAATGTTTGCGCCTATTTTTCTACAGCTATTTCTCTCCTCTAGCATAAGTCGAATGGCTCCGGTTTCCTCTTGCCCGGCCCAGCTTTTCCGTTTGAGCTTCAGCCGTCCTGGGCAGCTGTGGCTTTCCCCGGGCCAGGGCGGTGCGGACGGGCCGGGGGACACCGGGAGGCAGGCGCGGGCTGGTTCCGGCCCCGTGGGAGCCCGGCTCTCCGCCGAGCTCTCTGGCTGCTTTTCAAACTCTGCAGTTAACAACAAAAACCGAGCCACGCCACGTCGCACAAACAGGACGGGAGGGGGCGAGGGGGAAAGGAGGGGCGGGGGGCCGTGTGACTCGGGAACACTGCTAGGCCTCGGGTCCGCAGGGACAAGGCGGGGGGCCCGGCGGCGCGGCGCGCGGCTCCCGGCGGCAGACGGGGCTTCTGGTCTTCCCGCCGCGCGAGGGTCGTGGCGGGAAGCCGGGACGGGGCGCGCGCTCGGAGCCTCCTCCCCGCCCCGGTCCGCCCCGCCCCAGGGTCTTCCTCCCCCGGGGTTCCGGGCGGCCCCTCCTCCCGGCCAGGCTGGCCGCGGGGCGCTGAGCGGGCCGGGACCCCGCGGCCGAGGCTGTCGTTAGGCATCGCCCCGGCGACCCGCTCCGCAGCAAGATGGCGGACGAGAAGGACAGGGAAGGTAAGGCAGGGGCGCCGGGGAGCCGCTGCCCTCGCCGCCAGCCGCGACCCTGGGCTGCTGGGCGAAGCGCCGGGTGGGGGTGGGCCCTCGTCCATCTGGAGTCCCCACCCGCAGGGACCGGGTGGCCTGAGGAGGGGCCCGCCCAGCAGGGGCAGCCGCGCTGGCCCGTCTCCGCCGCTCCGCCCCGCCTCTCTCCCCTCCTCCCTCCTCCCTCCTCCGGCCTCCCTCCTCCGTCCTCCCCTTCCCCCCTCCTCCCTCCTCCCTCCTCCTCCCTCCTCCCTCCTCCTCCCGCCGCGTCTTCCTCCTCCTCCCTCGGAGGCCGGGCCTGGGCTGCCGCGCGGGCTGCAGCGGAGGCGCCGCCTGGGGCTGCTGATAATGGCGTCGTTGTTCAGTGCCGCGGGGAAGCCGCCGCCGCCGCGCCCTCCGGGGCTCTCGGTGCCGCAGGCGCCACGCCCGTGGCTGTCCAGGCCGTGGGCCCCGGGGCGGCCGGGCGAGGACGCGCTCTGGCCGCCGGAATCTGGCGGGATCCTGTTGGCGCCGAAACCCCGCCCTGGCGCAGCCCGATGGCGTCCGCCGCCGCCATTTTGCCTTCTTCATGAGGACGCGGGAGGACGGTCTGGAGGTCACAGCCGCTGCCTCCGAGCTTCTCCTGCCTCCGAAATGCCCGCCCTGCGGCCGGCCGGCGCCGAGCAACCGGCCTGGAGTCTTAGAAAACAAAGACCCACACCCAAACGGCAGTGTCAGTAAAGACGGAAAAGCAAAACCCGGCGGAGACCGTGGACCCGCTGTCCCCGGGGACCACCCGGCCCCGCGCGCTGGCCGCCTGCAGAGGCGCTGTGCGCTTCGAGGCCTAAGGTCGCCAGATCGAGGCGTCAGTGTGGTGCCTGCGCCGAGACCCCAAAAACGGCTGACGTTTATTGGCCAGACCGTTCATGTTGTTTTCAATTCGTGGCATAATTTATGATGAAGACCCGATCCTTGGTTACCATGACCTTATGTACTCAAAAATAATTGTGTTTGGTAGTTGGCAAAGTCACCAAGACAAAACAATATCCAAAAACCCGTGAAACAGTCAACAACGATGAAGTGAAAATATATTCCTCCTTTGTTTTCCTTCTCGAGTGCTCAAAACACCCTCTCATACCATTTTTCTCAGCATGGAACCTACTGTGGTCAGGTTAACAGCTAATAAACGAACTCTGAGATACTTAGTTGTTACGGTGATCACAGAAAATAGGCGGCGAAACATGAAACTGCCAACGTCTACCTGTAGATAACAGGAATCCTGTGATTTTATGTGATATTAATCTGAGAGCAAGGATTATTTTATAGATACTACCTTTATGAAGATGCCCTTACATACAAAGAAATGATTACTTTTAAGACTTCCCCAGAAAAATGAATAAATTATTTTTGTTCTTTATTAAAAAAAAAAAAGAAAACCATTAAGAGAGAAACTGGAAAGGTAATTATGGACATTTGTTTTCTTTTTTCTTTTCTTTTTCTTTTTGTCTTTTGTGGCCAAGTAGCCACATACTTGTTTTCTTAAAAAAGACTTGGTTAGGTCAGCATGAGACAAAAACACGAAATGATACTAATACCATATTTATCGTTTTTAAAAAATAGATTGAGAGCTTTCCTGATATTTCAACTTTTGAACAACATTTTTCTATTTAAGAAAAATTCAGAGAAACAATTCTGTCGATAATCATAGAAGAAGTAATAACTGTCAAAAGCCGTGTGCCATTCATTCAGAACCCATATATTTATTTATTTATTTATTTATTTTTTCCCATTTATTTATTTTATTGCATTTTAGGTTTTGGTGAACCCATATATTTAATGCCATCGTGTAGATAAGGCAGTCTACTTAGAACTTTGAGAGATACAAAAATGAAAAAGACATTGTCTTTGCTCCCGAGAAAGGTGAGATCAGTAAGGGAGATGAGATATATCCAAATGGGAGGGAATAATTAACTGGGCTGCGTAGAATCCGTGCCAACCACTGTGTTAGGTGTGTATCTTTGTAGTCTGTGGACAGCAGACTGGACATCGCTGGCTGCCCCCGACCTAGTGAATCAGAGTCTTCATTTTAATGTATCTGTAGGTGATTTGTATGTACATTAAAGTTCGGGAAGCACTCATATGGCATATCTCATTTATGGTTAAAAGTTTTATGAATTAACTAATTGCAGTTTGAAGGGTATGATGAAATAAAGGCATTTTGTCAGAGGATAAAATAAGTAGAGACTCACTTTGGTGATAAGAGTTTTTATGGAAATAGTCCATTACTGTATTTGATTTTCAGCTACTATATTTTGAATTTTCATAAATTACATCTAACCAATTAATCTGAATTGATTAAGTTTTGAGGATTCACTCAGCTAAACTCATAAGAGACTGATGTGCAAACCTGAATGACTTATTAGTTTAAATAGTGGTATATACATTGGCCTGAAGGCTGATTTTGGTAATGTAATGTACTGTTTTGTGGGTACTAAGCTTTGGGTAGTGTGAATTTATATTTCAGAAGCCATTTGATGATGGAATCACACAAAAGAAAGGATAATTTTGAAGGATATGTTCATTACCCTGTAAGTTCCAAAAGGCCAGGGACCATTTCTGATCTGTTAATACTGAGTATTGTTCAGAGTACTTGGCACATGGTAGGTAATCAATATTTGTTGAATTCAGAACATTTGAATTAATCAAAGACAGCTTATGTTTTAACCAAAGTTCTGGGATAACAGGCATGAGTCACTGTGCCCAGCCTAAAATCACCTTTTTAACTGAAAGAAGAATGTTTGAAATGGGATAAGAAAAATTATTTTTGAAGTTTTATTACTTCTCCAAAGTTTCCTCAGCCAGAACATTTTTTGTTTTGTTCTTTCTTTTCCTTCTGTTTTGTCAGTTTAAATGGAGAATCAATGCAATTGTTGATTCTTTGGCTCTTTAAATCTTATTGTTTCTGTCTTTTAGATAATTTTATATAGGCCTGCAAGGATCTGTTTGTAATTAGATTCACGTCTAGGAAACAAACTGCTTAGATATCAAATTCTAACTTTCGGCAGCCAGTGAGCTTTGCAAACTATGTTAACTTTTCAGTAAGCTGTAGATATTAAAAGCTCACTCTAGGATTTACTATTTTTGTTTGTATTGAAATATTCTTTGTTACTTTGCATGCTTTGATAACATTGCTTGACAAAGTGCCTCTAATTCCTCCTAGATAGAAGAGGTTTCACAAGGTTTGTGGTTTTGTTTTTGATTTCCTTCATTGTGCCACTCTTTTGAAAACCCAACATTTGGAAATATAAAGTAAAAAACAAATTACAGGTGCATATTACTTTATAAAAAAGGTTCTCTTAACTAATTTTTTTTTTTAGACAGCGTCTTGCTGTGTTGCCCACGATGGAATGTAGTGGTGAAATCATGGTTCACTGCAACCTCGACCTCCTAGACTCACGCAATCCCCTCCCTCCTCAGCTTCCCAAGTAGCTGGGGCTACAGACACAAGCCACTATGTCCAACTAATTTTTTTTTTATTTGTAGAGATAGGGTTTCACAGTGTTGGCTAGGCTGGTCTCAAACTCTTGAGCTCAAGATCTGCCTGCCTCAGCCTCCCAAAGTGCTGGGATTACAGGCATGAGCCACCGTGCCGGGTCTGATAGTAACTGTTGATAGTGTAGAGTGTAGTCTGTGGGGCAGTAAGAAGGTTGAGCTTTGAAGTAAGACCTGAATTTGAATCCCATCTTCCCCAAGCTCTAATGATGTGATGTTAGCAGAGATGCTGAACCTAAGGAGCTTCAGGTTCTTCAGATGTAAAGTGGGGATAAATAATACCTATTTCAAAATGTTGTAATGGGAACAATGTTTTCTTATTCCTTTTTACATCCCCAGCACCTACCACAGTGCCTGGCATCAAAGGAATGCTGAGGCCAGGGACAGTGGCTCACACCTGTAATCCCAGCACATTCGGAGGCTGAGGCGGGTGGATCACTTGAGGTCAGGAATTTGAAACCAGCCTGCCCAATGTGGTGAAACCCCGTCTCTACTAAAAATACAAAAAATTAACCGAGTGTGCTGGTGCATGCCTGCAATCTCAGCTACTTAGGAGGTTGAGGCAGGAGAATTGCTTGAACCCAGGAGGCGAAGGTTGCAGTGAGCTGAGATGGCACGGCTGCACTCCAGCCTGGGCGACAGAGCAGGACCCTGTCTTAAAAAAAAAAAAATTGGCCAGGTGCGGTGGCTCATGCCTATAATCCCAGGTCTTTGGGAGGCCAAGGCGGGTGGATCATGAGGTCAGGAGATCAGGATCATCCTGGCCAATATGGTGAAACCCCATCTCTACTAAAAATACAAAACAAATTAGCCAGGTGTAGTGGTGCGTGCCTGTAGTCCCAGCTATGTGGGAGGCTGAGGCAGGGGAATCACTTGAACCTGGGAGGTGGAGATTGCAGTGAGCTGAGATCGTGCCACTGCACTCCAGCCTGGGCAGCAAAGGGAGACTCCATCTCAAAATAAATAAATAAATAAATAAATAAAGGGCTGAATCAATGGGAAGGAAAGTATTTGGTACATATCTAACAAATTAGTAACTAGTAGTATCTGTTTAACATAAAACATAAGAGTTGGGCAGGCCAGATGGCTCCTGCCTGTCATCCCAACACCTTGGGAGGCCGAGGCGGGCAGATCATCTGAAGTCAGGAGTTTGAGACCAGCCTGACCAACATGGTGAAACCCCATCTCTACTAAAAAAAAAAGTAGTTGGGCGTGGTAGCAGGCGCCTGTAATCCCAGCTATTTGGGAGGCTAAAGCAGGAGAATCACTTGAACCTGGGAGGTGGAGGTTGTAGTGAACTGAGGTTGCATTCCAGCCTGGATGACAGAGCTGGACTCCATCTCAAACAAAACAAACAAAAAATAAGAGTTACGAAAACTTTTAAGTCTTATCAATTGAGATCATATATAATGCATTCATGCATATTTCTGGGGTAGTTTAAT